AGGGTTCAGCTTGTTCCTAATGCCTCAGCACCATTAAAACATCAGATTCATAGTTAGCTAAGACACCTCAGGATTCTGACATTCTAACTGAAGAAAAGAGAGAAGACGTTTTATTTTTTTTTTTTATTTTTATTCTTGAGACAGAGTCTTGCTGTGTCACCCTGGTTAGAGTGCAGTGGTGTCATCACAGCTCATTGCAACCTCAAACTCCTGGGCTCAAGCGATCCTTCTGCCTCAGCTTCCTGAGTAGCTTGGAACACAGGCATGCACCACCACACCTGGATAATTTTTCTATTTTTTGCAGAGACGGGGTCTTGCTCTTGGTCAGGCTGGTCTCAAACTCCTGAGCTCAAGCAATCCTCCCGCTTCAGCCCCCAAAATGCTAGGATTACAGGTGTGAGCCACTGCATCTGGCCAGAAGACATTTTAGAACATGGGAAAAGGACTCTGATCAAAGCCTCCTGAGGATGGAGAGAAGAATGGAACAGCACGGAATGCTACCTACTTTGCTCTGCCCAGGACTCTCAATGTCCCAGGATTGGGGGCTCCACTGGTTTGATAGGCCAAAGGAGGAGAAGTGGGAACGCATCACCAGATTTCTTGAAGACAGAAAAAGAGTAACCAGGCAGAGCCAGGAGGAAGCTTAGGAGGGGCGGCTCAGCAACATTCTGAAGGCAGGTGAAAACCAGGAAAGTAGAGCAAGACCCACAAGCAGATAGAAATGAGAGAGGGGGAATTTAGAAGCCAACTGTATGTAGAGATCCCAGTGTCGAAAAGCCTCTCTTTCTTTCGTTTTGTCTATTTTTCTCCTCTCATCTTTTTCCCAGAGGGAGAGCGCTTGGGTAGGACTTGGAGAGTCCTACCCAGAGAGCTTCACAGATGGTGTCCCTTGAGATGGGCTCCAATCTAGGGGGTGGGGCTCACAGGTGGGACCCCAATCTAAGGTGCAGCCTGGCAGGAAAAGGTCAAACCTCAGACATGGATCAGAGGACAGATGCCCAAAGATCTTGTGTTTGGCTCTCTGAACATGGAGGAATCTGTAGATGGGACTTCACTGGTTTATTCAAGGAAAGAAAGAAAGGAAAAAAAAGAGCAGATGGGAGACCTGCAGCAAGTCTGACTTATTGCTGGTCACCTCAGCAACCAAATTAGGGCTGTTTCTTATGTCCTTGGCCTAGCACATACCAATAAACAGTGGGAGCTCAATAAATGTTTTATGAATGAAAGAGTAAATTAAGTAAAGAAAAAGTAAAATCCACTGAGTACTGACAGGCTTGGTTTCACAGCCTGGGATTAGAGTAGGTGACTAGAATAAGCAAACACAACTGTGGCAGGTAGAAGGGCAAAAGTAAGGAAGGTTATGTCATTAATGTACCTAAGTGACACTAAAAGCAGGTCAGAGCTGCCTGAGTTACCAATGTCTGAGCTGAGATGTCAGGTCTGGTTCAGCAAACTTAGCCTTCCCTGGGTCAACCCTATCTAGATCAAGCTTCACTCAGTCCTTTGACCTCGGTCTGGAAGAAAGGAGGAGAGAGAAAAAGAGTAGCAAAGGAGAGAAGGGGAGGGAGAGGGATTGGTTTTCAACACTCATCTCTCCCCTTAAGTCTCCATCTTTATTACCCCAGGTGGGTACTCAGAAATTCCTTTACTCTTAAGAACCCCAACAAGAACAGTGATCCCTAATCAAGTCTCAAGATCCTAGATGGGGATGAGGGGAATTCACTATATTTTTGATGGCATCAGCCTCCTCTATGGAATGAGTTGTTTCAGGGGACACCAAGATCACCAACATATACATAGTTGTACTTATGGCTACATTTTATTATAGTGAAAGGATATCAGCAAGGGAAAAGGACACAGGTGGAATCTGGAGAAACTCATGCACAGCTTCCTTATGTTCTCCCCCTCCAGGGAGGATACACACCAAGCTTGCTCCTCGCATAGCAGCAAAAAATGCAATAACGTGTGTACAATGTTTATGCCTAGGAAAGTCCATTACGGACTCAATGCCCAAGGTTTTTAACTTGGGGCTGGTCATGCAGACACCATCTGCCTAACAACCAAGATTCCCAGAAGGAAAGCAGGTGTTCAACACAGACCATATTGTTTATAAAAAGAATCTAGGCACAGCAAACCACATTGATCAGTTAGGGAATTGAGAGAACTGTGCAAGTGCCAAGTTCCCAGATGCCAGCCAAGGGCCAACCTTGTAAGCAGGCCTTTGTAAAGACAGCAACCTCAGACCAGCTCTGTTAACTCTTCTGCACAGAAGCCATTGGTAAATGTTGCCAATGAGACTGAAGTACCTCCCAAAGTAAGTGGCATTAGGGAGCTGCCAACTGAGGCTGTGTTAATTGTAAAATATACTGTAATCTTGACAACTGAAGCAGTTATGACAAGACACAAAGCTAACAATGTTGTAATTACAGAATGTTTTTATGACTAGAGAATAGAGCTGAAGAAGTCAAGTTGAGCTCAAGGTGCTCTTTTCAGTTACTGAATGGGAAGAGGTGCTACCACTGCTATGGCTGCAGGAACATCTTCTTAAAGATCATCCAATTCCCTATACTCTCTTCTTTCTTTTCCCTGAATCCAACAAACTTCTGATATGCTTTTGGTCCTCCTACTAATAAAAGAATGTGCTCACTAGTTGGCATGCATTTGATTTAATAAAACAGCACTACAGTCCATTAGTTAGGCCCATCTAACTATAATAACGATCATTCATTAGGTACCCATGTGCCTTTTTGTTGATCTTTACATACTCCTATCAAGGACTATCTTGTTTTTGACAGGAGAAAACAGAGGATCAGAGTGGGGAATTGACCCACCCAGAGTCACATTAGCGTAAGCAAGTGATAAGAGATTTGAATTCGGATGGTCCTATCTCCCACACTCACGTTCTTTCCATTCTATTGTACTCCCTCTTTAACCAGAAGTCGGGTTAACATCAGTCTGCCAGGACCTGCTCACCCAGCAGCTGAGTGATAAAATCAAATTTGAGAACCTACAAAGCCACAAAGGTCACTCCATCAAAGTGCCTAAAACAGTCTTTCAGCTTCACCCATTGCCAGAGCCACAAAACCAAATTTAGTCGTGGCTCTAAAATCTGTATTCTTTCCAGGATCCCAGGCCTTCTCCCAAGATAAGGATTCCTCTGGCAGGAGTTTTCCGTTCTCTTCTGAAGCAATCCTGAGTTCAGTTCTTTTCCCACTGACAGTTCACTCCCTCTTCCCTGCAAACTGTCCCTTCTCCAAACGCATAATCTTTTATCCAGTCTAACGTCCCAGCCTTGTAAAATTAACAATGCGCAGTCGGTTTTCAGTTCAGAAAGCACTTTCAACACAGTGTTTCCTCTGCCCGCCGCCACCACAATCAGGTGAAGGGGGCAAAGCAGGAAAAAGCATCCCCATTTTAAGAGAAAGGCATCTCCCCAAGGTCACGGAATAAAAAAACAAGGGAAATCGCGACCAGAGCCGCAGGTTTTGACCTCTGGTCCTCGGCTCATCCCACTGCTCCTCATTGACGCCCACACTCCAGCCCCTGCGATGTCACAAGATGCCCCCAAGATGGCCCGTAGCTCAAGTCCCTCTCACGCCCACCCACCTGCAGCGTCCCCGCCTGCCCTGTAGACCCCTCCCCACAGCCCCCTCTCTTTACTAGCCCCATCTCCCCCACGGGTCTCCTCACCTCGTCAGATTCTTCCCCTGAGGAGCCCCCTCCCGTCACAGGCAGCTCGCGACCCCTGACTCAGTCTCCCACAGGCCCTCGCCCCGCCTTCCCGCTTCGCCGCCCCAGGCCCCTTCTCCTGTCAGCCGCTGCCGAGGCCGCCGAAGTTACCTTCTCCAAGGATGCCGGTTTCTGCACTGCCAGGGAGCGGGCCAGTGACAGGACCGTATTGAAGTAGAAACCCCGCGAGGCGCTGGAGCTGGAGCCGGAGCCGCCGCCGCTGCCTCCCCGGGCCGCGGCAGCCGCCATCATCTCGCGCGCCGCGGCGCTGCCCGCCGGCTCCCAGCACTCGGCCCGCGAGCGCCCGAGCCCACGGCGCAGGCGCGGCCGCATCCGGCTTCCCCACCACGTGACCTTTCTGTTGCCCGAGCGGTGCGCGGCCGCGGGGAGGGCCCACGCGGCGTAGGGTTGGAGAGGCGGCGGGTGTGCGCACCGGAAGTGTTCCCCCCGGCAGCCTGAGCTACGGTCGGCTCCGGGGGCCGGGCCACCCGCGCACGTCTGACGCAGGAAGCTCGCGCTGCAACCGCGGGGTCGACGGGCGGGGCGAGACGCTGGACGGCCGGCCACCGCGCTCCTCCTCCTCCTTCCGAGACCGAGCTGCGCTCCGGCACCATGTCGGCCTACCCCAAAAGCTACAACCCATTCGACGACGACGCAGAGGACGAGGGCGCCCCGTCGACGTCCTGGAGGGACGCCCGCGACCTCCCCGACGGGCCCGACGCGCCCGCGGACAGGCAGCAGTATCTGCGGCAGGAGGTGCTGCGGAGGGCCGAGGCCACAGCCGCCAGCACCGACAGGTCCCTGTCGCTCATGTACGAGTCCGAGAAGGTCGGGATCGCCACTTCCGAGGTGAGCATGGGGCCGGGCTGGTCTGGACCGGCCAGCCTCTGCATGGTCGAACCGGGGCAAGAAATGTTTTGTTCACGATTTTTTGAGAAGTCTGGAATTGCCTAGAATGGGTTCTTGTACTTTAGTGACTTGATGGCTTGTGATAACATGTTAACTGTGTAAAGAGATGCGCATCTGGAGTACTTGAAGGAGGCAGTTTATCCCGGGAATCTAACTTAGCTATTAATCTGCTTAGTTGATTTTTTTTCTTTCCTTATGCCTAGTTCAGAGATAAATTCTAGAATATATTCTGTCCAGGTGAGTAAAAATTCTGGGCCTGCGCTAAGGAAATGGAGGGTCTGTTCTGGCCATTCCTCCCTGAGTGATGCAGAGTGAGGACTTGGTGTGTGCAGGTGTCAGGTGATGCCCTGAAGCATCAGAGCAAATGGTCTTCCAGTTCTTCCCGTGTGACTGGCCGCTTCTGCGCCTCACCAGTAAGGATACTGAAGTCCTGTCTGCCTGGACAGCTACTCAGTTAGCCAGGGCCTGGGTTTGCTTGAGTCTAGGGCCTTAACTGTACCTCCCAAGTCCTAGATAGTGTGTGTGGGTGGAGACAGTCTATCCCCCCAATTCATTTTTGTCAATTCTTTCCATCTATAAAAGATTTCAGACAGTTGGACCTTCAATGAGAATTATTCTTCCTTGTACACCACATTCTCTCCTCAGCCTACTAATGAAACAGTTTTGTTTGGGCAGAGAAAAAGAAGGTTTAAAAATGTAATAGATTACTGATATTATCAGCTAAGAATAATTTATCTTAAGCATTTTGTAGCTTTGAAATGTAATGTTTGAAGCTAAAGAATTGTCCTTCTCCCTGGATCTCTTCATTACTCTTTTCTCTGGCAAAGTTTATTCTGACCTGATCACTTAGGGTCTTGAACAATCCTGAGATGTATTTGATTAACTTCTCAAATAGTCATCTCCGTCATTTCCCCATTGCTGCTTTCTTGGGTTATTTTCCTTCCCCACTTTTTCCTGTTTGTGTATCCCTCATTGACCCACCTTCCTCTCTTTAGTCTCATTGAGGAAGCTTTTCATCTCCTATCTACCGAATTCCTGTGTTTCAGTCTAAATAGAAAGTCTTGACTTGGATTTGAGGATTGCCTGAGGTCTTAGGGCCCTGACGAGTGGGTCGCTTGATTGAGGGTCCCAAGCACAAGGAAACCAACTAAAAAGGCTGAGGTGTAGACAAGAGGCGTGAGAATGAGGGATGGCTGAGCACTGGCCCAGCAACGGAATTCTTGGGCTCCTGAGAAGGGAAGTGATGGACCAGTATGTCAGAGGAAAGTAGCTAGGGGAGGTAGCTTAGGAGGCTTTGGAATTCAGAGGGAAAGATCTGGCTTTGTAACTCAGGAGAGGCAAAAACAGTAGATATGAGTTGTTTGATACAGATTGTGGTGACATGCCCCATGCTGCCCCCAAAGGTCTTTCTATGCAACAGGGACTGTGAGAGCAGAGGCAGAGTGGCACCTCAGGCATGTGAGGCTTAGCCAGGCCAAGCCAGGTGTTGCTCTGACAAGTGCAATATGGGTATGACTAGGCAGGTGACAGGCTCTCATCAGTGTGATTACATGTTGAATTTTTCCAGCATTAAATCAGTTCTCAATTATTAAAGGCCCTGGGAATCAGGAATGATCAGCACCTCCATCCCACCCCACCCCATATTCTCCCAGCTGTCTTGGAACCCTCCAATCACTCTTGTATTCCTTTCAGTGTTGGACTGGGGATGGGGGTAAGTGAGCTCATCCTGCCCTCAGTGTGCAGCGTGGCTCCCAGCAGACCTGCTAACCACGCAACTTAGATGCTGCCTGCTGGATATCCAGCACTGTGGGACATGCCAAAACATGAGAGATTCATATTAAAGATTAGGAGTTTACAAATGATATTAGGCTGGGAAGATCATAATTCATTCCCAGCGGGGCAGAAGGAAAATTACTTAGTCAGATCACCTCTAGTGAAGGAGAACTGCCCTTCTCCTACTGTGAAACCTGGCGAGGTTTGTTTCTCATAAAGGCTCGGACCACGGGTCATGACCGCCAAAGAACAGAGGAGAAATGGTCAGGACAGGGCAGGTCCTACCTGGCTGACCTGGTAAGCGCTTTACAGAACTATAGAGAGAATTGTAGGCCACTCATCAATTCTTCTATTTGGTATGCGTGACTTCTTTCTTCTTTTCTTTTCCTAAGGTTTAATTTTTGTGAAGAGCTATGCCAGTCACATGGTTCAAAATTCCAAACATACAAAAAGGGTTGGGTGCAGTGGCTCACACCCGTAATCCCAACACTTTGGGAGGCTGAAGCAGAAGGATCGCTTGAGGCCAGGAGTTAGAGATCAGCCTGAGCAACATAGTGAGACCTGTCTCTACAAAAAATAAAATCAGAAAATTAGCCAGACATGGTGGTGTGTGCCTGTAGTCCTAGCTACTTGGGAGGTTGAGGCAGGAGAATCGCTGGATCCCTGGAGTTTGAGGTTACAGTGAGCTATGATCATGCCACTGCACTCCAGGCTGGATGACAGAGTGAGACCCTGTCTCTAAGAAAATAAATAAATAAATAGAATTTTAAACAGAAGAATATTGGACTGTGCTCTGCTCTATGCCCCATCTATCCAACACCCTGCGCATGGTTTCTGTCCACCTTTTCACCACCCTGGCCACGGAGACCCACCTGCCCAGGACACACCACTCCCCTCCAGCAGCGGAGCATGTTCCAGTAAAGTTTTTAGGGCCTAGGATCTCAGTTCAGGAGGGGGTCCAGCAACAAGCATTAGACCAGGGCCCGAAGGGCTGGCACAGTAACATCCATGGAAAGTGACTGGTGTTCAGCAGAGTTCAAACATGATATGATCAGCAGCCCCAGCTGGCACATCCTCCATACTGTCTTGTGTGGAGGCCGCTCACCTACTCCCTGTCTTTCCAGCACTTAACAGTCACCGAAGCCACCCCGGGCATTCAGTTAAAAGAGGGAGATAGAGGAAGACACCCCTTGTAGCCCAGGAACAGAGGCCATTGAGGTGATCTATTTGGGGTTCCCCCATAACTGAAAATAGACACATTGCCATGGCATGGTACCGTCATTCTCTGGGAAGCTGGTGGTTGGGCAGCCCTCTCCAAATGAGGGGCTGTACTGACCAGAGCCACCCGTTGAGGCAGCCTGTGGTGATTCTGCTGCACCCAGAGTCCTTAGCAAAAGCTGACAGAGGGAAAAGATAGCTGCTCAATTAAGTAATTCCTCAGATTTTTAAATGTCAACAATGGAAGAGGAGCAGTCTCTTACCCATCTCTTACTCAACTGTCTACCCTCAAACTGCCCAGAACAACATCTTTTACATAATAAGTGCTCCCCAAGTAGTTGCCAAGTGAATAAATGCCCTGGGGAAGGAAGGGATGAAGAAGTGGAGGGAACAGAAGATTGCTTGGAAGTGGAAGAGAGATTGCAGCGGGAAGAATACGTTGCACTGTGCAACTTGGCTGACGTGTCCCCCCCGCCCCCCACTACCCCGTCAGTGCGTGTGTCCTGACACAGCTCAGGCTGTTTCTGTCAGGTGGGAGAGATTGTGCTCGAAAAGTGGTATTGGACCACATCTTTACCACTAGGTATGTTCTGGATTTATTTTTATTTTATTTATTTATTTTATTTTATTTTAATGTTTTTGAGACAGAGTCTCGCTCTGTCACCCCAGCTAAAGTGCAGTGGCATCATCGTAGCTCGCTGCAACCTCAAACTCCTGGGCTCAAATGATCCTCCTGCCTCAGCCTCCCAAGTAGCTGAGACTACAGTCTCATACAACCATGCCTGGCTAATTTTTTCTCTTTTTGGTGGAGATGGAGTCTCACTCTTATTCAAGCTGGTCTTGAACTCCTGACCTCAAGCAGTCCTCCTGTCTCTACCTCCCAGAATGCTAGGATTACAGGCGTGAGTGACCGTGCCTTGCCTGGATTTATTTTTTTAATTAATTTTTAGTAAACTATCAATGATTGAATTAGACCATTGATCCCAGGAAAACTTGCTGGCTCCTTGGCTGTAACAGGGCACCTTGTGAGGATGGGTTGTTACTGTTGAGGCAGATATGGCATCTAGCTATACCTGCTGCCCCTTCTTGAAAATGTCCACTCATGGCCCATGGCCACGGTATTGTCCCAAGGGACTTGCTTTGCCAACTGGATAACATGCTGTGGGAAGCTGGGAGGCTGTCTGTTCTCCAGCCTTCCACCTCTGAGTGGTGGTTCTGAGAGTGGGAAATGTTATTGGGAAGTTAGGGAGTCCACAGCACCACCCTCAGGTTCAGTGGTTGACTAGAAGTCCTCCCAGAACTCTTCCACTCATGATGATGGTTTGTTGTAGTGAAAGGATACAGATTAAAACTATCAAAGGAAAAAGATTCAGAGGGCAGAGTCCAGGGGAGACCAGGCACGAGCTTGCAGTTGTGTCTTCCCAGTGGGGTCATGTGGACAGCACTTAAATTCCAAGCAGTGAGGTGTGACAACACACACACTATTGTCAACCAAGGAAGCTTACTCAAGCCTGGTGTCCAGAGTTTTTATTGTGGTTCTGTCACAGGCATGGCTGGGTTTTGTCTTCAACCCCTCCAGAGGTCAAGCTCAAACCATGTAGCCCAAGGCCCCCATCATAAGTCATATTGTTAGCATAAACTGTCTAGCCTGGCCTAAGGGCTCATGGAAGGAAGGACACTCTTATCAGGCAGGATATTCCAAAGGCAAGGAACTAGGCAAGGGCCAGGCCTTTCTGGGGAATGTGGAGTGTGTGGACAACCCAGCCCTGCTGAGTAGGTCCTTTTCTCAGCCCCAGGTCAGCCTGCACACAGGTAGTAAGGGCACCAGTGCTGCCACCATGGCCCTCGGTGGTTTTTTTGTGCACCTTAAGACCCGATTTGGCCGGGCCACCCAACCACCGGGGGAGCCGCCGGCAGTGGCCGAGCAGGCAGCCCAGCTGTCTGCACTGCGGCCCATGGGACTGCATCATGATCGCCCTGGCAGGCTCCAAGGAGCGCCTGCCACTCGCTGTGCCTCGAACAAGAAGATGTGGGACATCTGGATTTGGGATATGAATTAATTTGAAAAACCGATTTGGGGGTATGAACGTGATTTCTGATGAAACTGGATTGGAATAACTTTCATGATCTTTGTATATTTATATGTAGATATTTTAAAATTTTGCATTTGACTTAAAGTGCCATGAGAAAATTTGCATATCACAAGGTGGTCCTACCCACCTCCTTGATTTGGGTACCCTTGGATATGTTCCTGCTGCTTTACTTCAGTGAATGCAACAAATGCGATGAAGAAAAGGAGACAGCACTCCTGCTGGGGATGTTCTAGAGCCAGTACAAAAGCCTCCTCAAGGTCCTGGAGAGATGGGGAAACCAGCCATCATTCCTAAAGAGGATCAGGCAAAGATGAAAGAGATGTTTAAAATCAATCAGTTCAACTTAATGGTGAGTGAGATGATTACCCTCAACAGGTCTTTGCCAGGTGTTAGGTTAGAAGGGTGTAAAACAAAGGTGTATCCAGATAGATAGTCTTCCTACAACAAGTGTGATCATAGTTTTCCACAATGAGGCTTGAAGCACACTTCTGCGAACTGTCCATAGTGTCATTAATTGCTCTCCAAGACACATGATAGAAGAAATTGTTCTAGTAGATGATGCCAGTGAAAGAGACTTCTTGAAAAGACCTCTAGAGAGTTATGTGAAAAAAACTGAACATACCAGTTAATGTAATTCAAATGGAACAATGTTCTGGGTTGATCAGAGCTAGATTAAAAGGAGCTGCTGTGTCTAAAGGCCAAGTGATCACCTTCCTGGACACTCACTGTGAGTGCACAGTAGGGTGGCTGGAGCCTCTCTTAGCCAGGATCAAACATGACAGGAGACCAATGGTATGTCCTATCATGGATGTGATCAGCGATGATACTTTTGAGTACCTGACAGGCTCTGATACGATCTATGGTGGATTCAACTGGAAGCTCAGTTTTTGCTGGTATCCTGTTCCCCAAAGACAAATGGACAGAAGAAAAGGTGATCGAACTCTTCCTGTCAGAACACCTACAATGGCAGGTGATTACTTTCTATAGACAGAGATTACTTTCAGGAAATTGGAACATACGATGCTGGAATGGGTATTTGGGGAGGAGAAAACCTAGAAATTTCTCCTAGGATTTGGCAGCGTGGAGGAACTTTTGGAAACTGTTACATGCTCACACATCAGACGTGTGTTTCAGAAAGCTACACCTTACAATCTTGCACAGGGCAGATTATCAATAAAAATAACAGATGACTTACAGAAGTGTGGATGGATGAATCCAAGAATTTCTTCTATATAATTTCTCCAGGTGTTACAAAGGTAGATTGTGGAGATACATCATCGAGACTTGGTCTAAGACAGAAACTACAATGCAAACCTTTCTCCTGGTACCTAGAGAGTATTTATCCTGCTTCTCAAATTCCATGTCACTATTTCTCATTGGGAGAGATACGAAATGTGTAAACTAATCGGTATCTAGATAACATGGCTAGAAAAGAGAATGAAAAACTTGGAATTTTTAATTGTCATGGTATGGGAGGAAATTGGGTTTTCTCTTATACTGTCAACAAAGAAATTAGAACAGATGACCTTTGCTTGGATGTTTCCAAACTTAATGGCCCAGTCACAATGCTCAAATACCACCACCTAAAAGGCAACCAACTTTGGGAGTATGACCCAGTGAAATTAACCGTGCAGCATGTGAACAGTAATCAGTGCCTGGATAAAGGCATGGAAAAGTATAGCCAGGTGCCCAGCATTAGAGACTGCAATGGAAGCCAGTCCCAGCAGGGGCTTCTTCGAAATGTCACCCTTCCAGAAATATTCTAAGACCAAGTTTACAAAAAAAGAAAAACTAAGGATTGACTAGGCTACCTCAGCATATATTTCTAGCACATTCTTAAGTAGCAAAAAAGGAAAAGTGCTTTCCTCCTCTGTAGGATGTAAGGTTTATCAGCCGTTAAAACTCAAACTCTAGCTTTTCACTAGCTGTGAACCAGCCCTCCTGTCCGTGGACATGAAGCTGCATAGTAGTGAGACTGTGCACACTGATGTTTACAAGATTGAAAGAGTCTTTCATCAAGAATCATGGTGGGCCGGGCGCGGTGGCTCACGCCTGTAATCCTAGCACTCTGGGAGGCCGAGGCGGG